TGATGATTTCGCGTGTGTATATAGACGTGTCAAAATTCATCAAAGCGGACATTTTAAATATGTTCAGTTTATTATATGCCAACTATTCTTCAACAGAGCCATTAAAAATAGTTTTCAAACAGAAGAAACAAACACAACTGGGTGTCCATCTGCCCACGTCTCAGCACAGCGCTGGGGCCACCCTGCTGTCACCGCAGTGTCCTGTGAATTGCCTCAGCGGCTTCGGCTCCCCGGTCACCCAGCTCCGGCCTGGCCCCTCAGCCCTCCCCAGGCCCTCCCCTGACCTCTCCCCCCAGCGCACGCCCCTCGAAAGCCCCAGCATGCTCCCACCATAGGGCCTGCCCCTCTGTCTGGAATGTTCTGTCCCGTGAGCCTAACTGCTGGGGCAACCTCATGTCTTCACTCAGAGTCATTCTGCGTGAGGCCTGCCTCAGTCACCACTTGAACTGTGAGCCACCCACCTCTACTCCTGACACCCCTTCCCCATTCAACTCCTACCACACACAATGTATTTATTCTGGGTTTTGTTTGTTTCCCTCGACTGGTCGTATTTTTGTTAGTTCACGGGTATCGTCCAACAGCCCACAGTAGGTGTGCAATAAACACTTGTCGAAGGACTGCTTCATGTGCCCAGCACTGTTCGAAGTGCTTTTCCCAGATCACAGTGATCCCCAGAAGTGGCACTGCAATGCCCCCCACTTGACAGAGGTGGGTAGGGGGGTGAAGCAAGCCAGCTTCGTCCTGGCTGGTTTGGCTCCGCGGTTAGAGCAAGGGTCCACGGACCGAAGAGACCCGGGTTCAGTTCCCACTAAGGGCACGAACTTGGTTGCAGTTTGTCCCCAGCCCCGGGTGGGGTCATGTGGGTGGCAGCCACTCGATGTGTCTCTCCCACATCGATGTTTCTCTCTCTCTCTCTCTCTCCCTCCCGCTCTGTCTGAAGATAAATGCAAAAATGTCCTCCGGTGAGGATTAAAGAAAAAACCAGCTGCCCCAGAGCCTGCTCATGACCAGCGTTTGAGTCACTGGTCACAGCTTCTGATTACACCCGACATCTACAACCCCACGTCTCCCAGCAACTGGAGTCCTTCCCGGGCCTCACCCCAATTCCAGGAGCCGAGGCACATCTTACCCTTCTGGTGCCCTCTCTGCCTTGGTCTAGAAGGGACGGGAGACAGCAGCTGGCTCGTAAAATGCAAATGGTCCATGAAGGAGGCAGGGCAGTTAAAGGGGGACTGTGGGCAGGACCCTAAAGGGAACCCTGCGGGGCTCGAACCCCACTGCCCAGTTTCACAGCGTCCCCAGGACAGAAGCCACCTCTACCACTAGTGTTAGTCCCCGTCTCGGTCACTCGGGCTCTCCTTTCCCCCTCACTAATTACTCAGCAGTATTTACAGGTGCCCAAGCCAGGCTCCTAAGGGACACCGTGCCTTGGCCACCTCCCTGAGACCAGAGGCCCGGCGGCGCCGGCTCTGCCATGTGTCCTCCATAGAACTGCGGGAGGGATTTCCTGCCCCCCCCCCGCCCCGTGCAGACATGGAAGGGGAAGGGGTCTTGGTGGCATGGGGGCTGCCCACCCGCCCCCTCCTCCCTCCTGTGCATCCAGGGCTGCCGGCTGCCTTGGCCTCGCCTCCCCCACCTCCTCGGAGCCACGGGCCTTCCCTCCCTGGCTCACCCTCACAGGTCAGGACTCTTGTCCCTGAACCTCCCCCGCTGCAGCTGGGTCCCTCTCTGCCTGCCAGCCGCCCACTGCTGCCCACCTTGCCAGCCCTCAGGGTCTGCCCTGTCCCAGAGCCTGCTCCCCCGCCTGCTGCCCTCTCAGGAGGGCCCCACCCCGTGCAGTCCTGGGCAGGTGTGTCAGGAGACCCAGGGAGGAGGGGCAGGGTGGGGGTGCCAGAGACAGAGACATCGTACTGCTCCCCGCAGTTCCCAGGGTGCCTGGTGCCGTGGGTCAGACCTCAAGTCGGGAGTCGGTTCAAGTTCTCTCTCTGCTCCTCACCACTGGTGACCTTGGGCACATCCCTCGCTCTCTTTGGACCTCTTGGGGTTTTTTTTGTGTGTGTGTTTTTTAAATCCTCACCGGAGGATATTTTTTCATTTATCTTCAGACAGAGTAGGAGGAACAGAGAGAGAAACATCAATGTGAGAGAGACACATCGACTGGCCACCTCCCACAAGACCCTGACCAGGGCTGGGGACCGAACCGCAACCGAGGTACGTGCCCTTGACCAGAATCGAACCCGCGACTCTTTGGTCCATGGGCCGACGCTCTAACTGCGGAGCCAAACCAGCCAGGGCTGGATCTCTTGGTTTTATTCACTGAAAAAAATGGACCACTCGTAACTAGTAAAATCCAAGTTCCTTCCAAATTTCCAAGGCTGTGGTTTCTCAGAACATCTAGAAGGCAGGAGCAGGGCGCTCCCGGGCCCTCGAGCACTGGTCACGATTCGGCCCACTGCCCGCTCCAAAGCTCCTGGTAACAGTCATTCTGCCAGGTGAGGAAGAGGAAGCTGGAGGTCAGAGAGATGACCAACCTCCCAGGACCACAGCTGAAACAGAAATGACAGAGCTGGGACGACGGCTGCCAACCCGTCCTGTGCTCTGTCCCCTGCCTTCCACTGCCCCTGCCCGGAGCCAGGCCCTTCCTGGGCCCTGTGGGTCAGGCAATGGGTCAAGTAGAACGAAAAAGCTACTCCTTGCTCCCCTCACCTGCCCCTCCTCAGAGCCCAGTGGATCCCCCCAAGTTGGGACTGCAGTGAGGGGGTCAGCTCTGGAGGGACAAGGACAGACCTGACTCACTGTCCTCCTCCACCTGTGCTACGGCGCCCGTGCTGACAGCGCTCCGCGACAGCCGCTGAGTGAACGCGGGATGAAGGGCTGGAAGAGGATCCCTCGCCAAGGGACCGGTGGCTGTGGTCAGTGTGGCGTTATCACTCTGACCCTACGACCCCACAATGACTGGAACATCCCCTCGGCACGTGCACAGCTGCCCAGCTCCTGCCCTTGCAGCAGCCGTCCACCTAGACCAGCACTTCCCAGAGCCTGCTGGAGGAAAGGAGCCACTTCTCCTGAAAACCAGTCCTCTGTGGACTGACACTTTTATTTTTAAATCCTCACCTGAGGATATTTTCCCATTTATCTTCAGACAGAGTGGGAGGGAGGGGGAGAGAGAGAGAGAGAAACATCGATATGAGAGAGACACATCGACTGGTTGCCACACGCACGACCCCACCTGGGGCTAGGGACGAACTGCAACTGAGGTACATGCTCTTGGCTGGAATCAAACCCAGGACTCTTTGGTCCACGAGCCAATGCTTTAACCACAAACTGGCCAGGTCTGATTTCTTTCTTTTTTATCCTCACCTGAGGACATTTTTCCATTTTTTGTTCATATAGAGTGGGAGGGAGAGAGAGGAACAGAGAGAGAGAGAGAGAGAAACATCGACGTGAAAGGAACACATCGAGTGGCTGCCTCCCTCACAACCCAACCAAGGCCAGGGACAAACTGCAACTGAGGTACGTGCCCTTAGCGGGAACTGAACCTGGGTCTCTCTGGATCGCAGGCCGATGCTCTAACCGCTGAGCCAAACCAGCCAGGGCTCGATTTCTTTCTTTCTTTCTTTTTTTTTTAATCCTCACCCGAGGACACTCTTCCATTTTTTGTTCAGATAGAGTGGGAAGGAGAGAGAGAGAGAGAGAGAGAGAGAGAGAGAGAGAGACTTCGACATGAAAGGGACATATTGAGTGGTTGCCACCCACGCGACCCAACCAGGGCCAGGGACAAACTGCAACCGAGGTAGGTGGCCTTAGCGGGAACCGAACCTGGGTCTCTCTGGACCTCAGGCCAATGCTCTAACCGCTGAGCCAAACCGGCCAGGGCTGATTTTTTCTTTTAAAAGTCTGGGTGATGGAAGATGACTTGACTTTGGGTGGTGGGCACACAGTGCAATATACAGATCTTGTGATATAAAAATCCACACCCGAAATCTACATAATCCTATTAACCAGTGTCATTCCAATAAATTTTAATTAAAAAAAAAAAAGTCTGACCATGTCACCATGCTCCTCTCCTTCTTAAAACTTCTCCACAGCCTGGCCGGTGTGGCTCAGTGGTTGAGTGTCGACCCTGCACCAAGAGGTCGCCAGTTCAATTCCAGGTCAGGACACATGCCCAGGCCGTGGGCCTGATCCCCAGTAGGGGGCGTGCAGGAGGCGGCCAATCAATGTTCTCTCTCATCAATGTTTCTATCTCTTTCTCCCTCTCCTTTCCTCTTTCTCTAAAATCAATAAAGAAAAAAATATTTAAAAGAGAAAAAAACTTCTCCATGGCTCCCCATTGTCCTCAGGGTAAAATCCCCTGCCAACCTTTCTAGAGACACTCGGGCCCCTCCCCTGTTCTCAGACCCCAAGTCCAAAGTATCTTTCATTCCAAACAGTGTGCAGGCCTCCCCAATCCTCCACACGCTTTCCTGCCTCTGCACCTTGACTCTCGCATCTCCTTTTACCTTACTGACCACAAGGCTGCTTTCCTTTCTGTTCACACCCTTCTTTCTCTATGAGGTTTGACCCAAATGTCATCTCCACTGGGAAGCCTTCCTTGATTGCCCCAGACGCAGCTCCCTTTGCTGGGCACCCCTGGCCTTTGGTTCCCAGAATCATTTCATACGACCCTGTAGATCTCAGACTGACCCCACTTCTCACTGAGCCCATTAAAATGCACCCTCAGCACATGCTAAATATAATCATGTGGCTAGAAACACATTGTAAAGGGTTTTTGTGATTTTCTCATTTGGGAATTTTGACTAATTTTTATTTTGCTATTTTCTTCACGTGCTTTGAAACTGGTGCTGTCTTCTTTAGTTCTCGGATGGTTTGTGGGCCAACAGAAAGCCCCTAGGCCCTGAGCCTCCCCTGCCAGAGGTTCAGATCCCCCGGTGCTGTCTCTACCCAACGTGACTGTGGGGGTGCAGTGGATTAGGGGTTTATCTACCTATCTCCTCCTCAGGACCATGACGCTCCAGGTCAAGGGACAGTTCCTGACTCCTCTCTACGTCCCAGGTGGTCAGCAGACAGCTAGGCACGTATGCTCAGTCCATGGAAGAGTAACTTCATCAAAATCTTCTGCCTCTACAGTTCTAATACAATGCAACTCATATTTATTTCTGTTTCTGTCACTGTCTCTACAAAAGATTTCTATAATTGCTACCTGTTCTCTCAAAGCAGCTCTGTGTCAGGTCACTCTGTCGGGGTGGCCAGTGTGTGCGGTCAAGAGCCTGCCGTGCCCCCGGGTGTCAGCTGCCCTGAGTCTCGTGACGATGCCATAAAGTCGACCTGTTAACCCTATTGACAGAGAAGGAAACTGAGGCTCAGAGCAGAGGACTAACTTGCAAATAAGAGGTGGCAGAGGTAGGAAGCAAACTCAGGACTGTCGGACTCCCAGTCCCCTGACCGCCCTCAACACCCCGCCCTCCCCGGCACAGGTCCCCTGTCCGCCACCACACCTCACCTGCTCCTCGTCCATCCTCTGCTTCCAGGCACGACACAGACTTCACCTCCACCCACACGCGTCACCCCGCCAACAGTGGGGCTGTCTCAGCACCGTCACCCTTCGGTCGCAGGTGTGCTTCCAGAGTCCGCCCGCTGCGCACAGGCTGCAAACAAGAGGTGAAATGACGAGACGCCAACCTCACCGGCTCCGAGCTCAAGATCAGGCAGCCAGCCCGGCGCAGAGGTGAGACCTCGCTACCCGCCCTTCACTCTGAAGATGCCGGAGGTCACGTTCAAACACCCACCACACCTCCGAGTTGGGCAGGGCCCCCAGGGCTGCCTTAGCGCTTCCCCAGCTTGAGCCCACCCTTGGGCTCCGAGCACCAGCCACCCTAGATCCCCACATGGGGTTCGGAGCAGAGCGTGGGCACAGGCCTGGCCACCTGCCATCCTCCTCTCAGGGTCTCAAGACCAGGGGTCAATACGTTCATGGGAAGTGGGGTCCCAAAGTGACCCACTTAATAAACCCCTGTATTTCTTTTTTGTTTTTCTTTATTGATTTTAGAGAGAAAGGAAAGGAGAGGGAGAGAGATAGAAACATCGATGAGAGAGAACATTGATTGGCCGCCTCCTGCATGCCCCCCACGGGGGATCGAGCCCACAACCTGGGCATGTGTCCTGACCGGGAATCGAACCAGTGACCTCTTGGTGGATCGGTCGACACTCATCCACTGAGCCACACCAGCCAGGCTAAACCCCCCTATTTGTAGAGTAATTGCAATTTGCACAAGGCTCCGCCTCCTTTATTTCGGTAGCTCCTCCCCCATCCCAGCTGGGGGCAAAGAACGACCCAGTCCACTTGGCTCCTAGAGGTGGCACCTGGGCCAGGACCCCAGAGCCCAGACTGCAGCCATGGAGAGGGGCCTGCAAGCTCTATTCGTCTCTCACGGACTCAGAGGGGCCCCTCTTTTCTAAACCTCAGCTCCCTGTCTGTGCCACAGGGGTGTGTGGCCGGACAACCCCTAAGACCCCGTGTCGACCATGGTGCAGAAGGCTGGTTGGGCTACCAAGGGGGAAACTGAGGCCCGGAGCTTTCTAGAGCGCCCCCCCCGCCCCGCCCCAGCAGCTGCACACTGTCCCTGTGCGCTGTCAGGAGGAAGTCACCACATTCCAGCAGGGCCAGCAGGATGAGTCACCAGGTGGAAATGATGCTGCAGAGGGAGGCCTGGGGGCCGGGACACTCGCCCCCACCGAAACCACAGCCGAGGAGGGCAGCGACGGGACTCCGAGGACTGGCCCGAGGGCAGGCTGCCGGGCACAGATTCAGACGGTCAACGGTGAGCTCAGTGAGCCTTTCAGCCCGAGGCCCTGGAAGCCACCCAGACCGCCAGTGATACCAATAATCACAATAAAAACACCAGCACTCAGCAGTTAGCAAGTGTGTCGGGCGCCTTACACCTGTTACCTCACGGCCGCTGCCGCTGAGTGTCAGAGGACCCACCTGACAGATGAGAGCCAGGGGGCGCAGAGACACTAGGGTGCTGTCCCCGGCCACACGGGCAGCAGAGCCTCCATCCTTCGCACCCAGGGGTTCTCCCCACCCCGCACAGTCCAGGAGCGCTTCATGTTAGCTCAGAGGCCCGCAGACACCTGGGAGGGCCCCCAAGGGGCAGAGTCATGAACTGGGCTGAGAGGCAGATGACTTATGGGTAGGTGGTACCCTCTGGGGCCTTAGCCTGCACATCCCGAAAACCAGAATCGGACCTGGAGTGTCTCCAAGGCCCTTCCTTGGGCTGTGACCGTTGAGAGGCCTCCAGGACCTCACGCACAGGCATGGCCTCGCCGCACCAGTGAGGGAGGCGGAGCCCCACAGTGGCCCAGTGGCCCCCACAGGCAGGCAGCCGAGGGTGCGATGCTCATCCGGCAGGAACGTGTCTGAGCTCACCTGGAACGAGGCCTCGGGGCCCTGGGGACACAGGGTACAACTCGGGAGCCCGAGCTGGGTCTCCACAGTGCCAGCCTCCGGGCTGTTCCCACAGGGAACGCAAAGGACCCCAAGCCAAGACGGGGCAGACGGGGGGTGCCAGGAGAACAGGCCCGTTGGCCCGCCCCGACAGGTCCACAGCTGGGCTGGGCTCCAGGCCTCGAAGGAGACAGTTACATGGGGTGGAGGCTGCAGGCACCTGGGCAAAAGGGAGGACAGAGGGAGGAGATCTTCGGTGAGAGGAGAGGAGAGGAGAGGGGTCTCCATCCTGCACGGGGACAGGGATCCATCTGTGATGAGAAGCAGGACTCCCGTCTCAGGGCCACAGGCTCACCGCCAGGGCAGCTCCTGTTACCAGCCGGACCCTGATGCCCTTCCTCTGACATCTCTGCCTCAGGCCTCTCCCTGCCCCCTCCCACCACTCTCTCTCTCCCTCTCTCTCTTGCATTCCTCTGGGAGCTGATCAGGGCTTGAATGACACCCCAGATGACTCTTTGCTATTAATTCCCACACACAGAATGGGGCCCTTGTTCTCCTCTCCCTGAGGAGTCACCGTGGCCAAAGCCATCCCAAGAGCTCCTGACTTAACCCTTCTCCTGGCTGCTCCTCTGCATGTCCCCACACAGGGCGTGGGCGCAGAGAGCACGTCTGGGAGAAACCAGGGCTCTTGCAGCCCGGAGCTCCAAGCACCAAGTCCCCAGGATGGGACAGCAGGACCACCCGACCTCCCTGGAGGGCCTGACCCAGCTGCTGGCCTGAGGCTCCCCACAGGACTAGTGGCCAGAAGGCCTTGCCTGAGTGTAGAGCCCAGGGCCAGCCTGGCATCGCCGGCCCCCGGGAGGCTTCTTCAAAGGGAAGCCCTGGGCCCTGCCCTGGCCCTACGGGTTAGAAGGACTAGAGGCCCATCACCGCCTGTCCTGGCAGGTCACCGAGGAAAGAAAGAGGTGATTCTTCCGAGCCTGGAGGACAGAGGAGGCACTGGTCTGTTCAGTCAAAGCCCATCGTCCCCTTCATTCCCGGTCCCCACCCCCACGCCACCCAGACCCATGCCGTGGGAACACAGGGAGAGGGACCTCTGCCTCAGAAGCAGCTAAGCTGGGAATAGGAGCTGGGGAGCTGGGCACAGGCCTGAGAGAGCAGCAGGGTGAGGGGCATGGCTGTGGACCAGACAAGGTGGCCTGGGGGGAAGCACGCTGGGGCCACGGGCTGGGGCCACGGGCTGGGGCCACGCAGGGAGGCCCGGAAGGTCAGGCAGGAGGTGTGCACCCTCATCAGAGCCAGTCTGTGGTCCTTGGCACAATCTTGGTATCTCTAACTTGTCACTTCTCCCCATCGCTCCTTCCCCAGGACCCTGCACCCCCTGGTCGACAGGAACAGGGCAGGTGAGGGGGGCGGGGCACAGAGACTGAGAAATGCAGGGCTGGGGAGAGCAGAATTAGGGGCTAGAAAAGAGGGCGAGCGAGGAAGGAGAGGGGCCAGAAGGGGAAGGACCACCCGCTGTGGGGTGAAAACTGCGAAGCCTCCCAGAGGGAGAGGCTGTGGACAGAAAGAACAGAGAGAAGAAGCAATGGTGAGAGAAGGAAATCGAGGCAGAGAGAGTAAAACAAGCCTCGGACAAGAGGCAGGGACAGAAGTAGAAAAGGGAGAGAGCCAAGGCCAGAGGAAGAGGAGGGGGCAGCCGGCCTGCGCTGTCAGGGCCCCTCCCGAGCTCCTCTTGGCCCTACAGGTCCACCGCCCCACAAGGCGCCTGCTCCCCAGCAGCTCCTGGGCAGGCCCAGCGCAGCCTCGGGGCTCAGCTCCCCATCCGCTCCCCGCCCTGCCCGAGGTCCTCCGGTGCAGTGAGGGCACCTCGGAAGAGGTGGGAGTTTTGAGGCTGGGAGGGGAGCCTTAGAGACCATCTGTTCCAATAGTTCCTGCCCCAGCTGCACCATACTCTCCATGAGCTTTTAAAAATAGACACCCACCCAAGTCTAAGACAAGGAATGGGACCTGGGCATCAGTGTGCTGCAAGCTCCCCAATGAGTCTGCAGTGACACCAGGTTTGGGTCACAGGGCAGAGGAGGATGCTGGTCTGTTCAGTCAAAGGTCATACAACCCTCGGGAGCTGGGACTCACAGCAAGGCCTCCGGGTCCCAGCCCAGCCCGGTGGGTCCACCCAGTGCCAGGCAAACAGGAAGGGCCTAAGTGGCAGCACCCTCTCCCTCTGTCCCTTTAGCCTCAGGGCCCAGGACCAGCTCTCCAGGGGTTGCCAGGGCAATCACCATCCCGAGGCCAACAAATCAAAGAGGAAGGCATTGAGCCAGAATGAGATTTCTGTCCCCATTCCCCCGCCCCCGTCCCCCTAGTGCCAAGGCCTGGGGCTGCAAGCTCTAGCCAGAGATGGGGGCGGAAGGTGGGGCAGGAGGGAGGAGGGAAAGACCGGGTGCTTCCTGTCCCCCCCCAGCCCCACCCCACCCTTTCCCTGCAGCCTCCTGGGGCGCAGGGCTGGGCCCCGGGCAGTGCTGTCTGAGCTGACAGATCTTCCCCGTCCTTCCTGCCTGCTGGAGGAAGAGGTGGGGCTGCCCGGGAGCTGGCTCAGCTCCCCATCCCCTCCCCGCCCTGCCCAAGGTCCTCAGGTGCTTGGTGTCCCACTCAAGCCAGCCTGTCTCTCCAGGGCCCCCCAATTCCACAAGAAGAAGAGCACTGGGAATCAAGATGCCTACCTCCATCACACGAGACCCTGGGCACGTCTCCAGTCTAACAGGCAGCCACCTCTTCGGGCCACCCGCCGCCCCTCCCCCCCAGCCTCCCCACCGCGACATTTACTCCTGCGCGCTTCCTTCACTGGCCGCCTGTGGTGTGCCGGGCACTCGGCTCACCCTCAGGGACTCGGAACGTGACCCTCTTGTGGGCAGACAGACAATGCATTTCACAATAAAATACATGTAATATGTATGTAATGTATATAACATATAACGTGTATTATACATTATACATACGTCAGGGTTGTAAATGTGTGTGTCTGTTCACAGAGCAGCGTGGTACAGTGATGACCTCACAGCAAACACGCGGTCACAAGTGGCAGTGAGGGCCGCACAGGGCAGGCTGGGGTGCTGCTGCAGAACCAATGCTGGGGCGGAGGGGGTGTCTCTGTAGGGGGTGTCTCTGTAGAGGTGACCTTTAGGCTGAGCCCCAAAGCGG